TTTTGTGCCCTTTTTTGTCTCAGTTGGAAAATAATAGGAGGTGATACTGCAGATTATTCACGGCAGATTGAAGATTGCAATTTGAGGAGTAAAATACTGTATCACAGCAAATAGAGTTATTGCAGTATTTTGGGTGATTGGTATATCCGAAGTGTAGGCATTAAATAAAGTGGGGGAGAGGATGGATCCTTCAGGCGCTCCTGCTTTGATGGTAAAAAGTGTGGAGAGAGCCCCGGGGAGACGTACAGAAAATATTCGGTTACAACGAAAACTTTCGATGATGCGTGAAAGATATAGTGGAGTACCTACACTGCGGTGTTTGAAAATTAACCCTGGGATGGCCAGATGGTATCGAAAGCTTTAACTGCATATAGAAAAACTGCGGTGGTATGCTTATGGTCATGAAATCCTTCGATGATATCTTCAGTTAGACGTAAGATTTGATGATACGTGGACAAAAGGTGTTGGAATCCAAACTGATGAGGTGGTATGGCATTGACTGCGCTGAGATATGAATTCAGCCTAGAGAGTATACATTTTTCAAATAGCTTACGCATTATGGATAGTTAACTAATCGGGCGATAGCTAGTTGGATGATTTTGAGCTTTCCTTGGCTTTAAAATGGGAATAATGTGGGTGTTTTTCCATTAATTATGAAAGTACGTTTGTCTCAAAGAGGCATTAAATATTGCTGTAATATGTTATATTACTTTAATGGAAAGGCGTTTTAATAAAATAAAGTTGATATTAGATCATCACCATTTGATAATTTTAGGGTTGCTAGTGAAAGAAACTTTATAATTTCTGATGGTAAAATAAATTTTGGGCATTCAGGAACTGTTATTTCTGGTCGTGCAATTCCTTCTTCTATATGACTATCGTAGTGCAAATTTTGAGAAGGGTAAGAAGCAAAGGTTGATGATAAATAATAAACCAATATATCGCATTTATGGGAAGGAGAAGCTACTTCTCCAGTTGGAGTAACAAGAGTGGGTAAATTGGTAGATTTGCGCAAAAGACATTGGGTTATATTCCACAGTATATGATCATATTGGTTTGCCGTTTGTGTTTGCGCGTAGATGGACGCCAAACGTTGTTTCACAGTTTTAGTTAGGAGGTTTAAATAAGATTTTAAGAGAGGATATCGATGTTTCAACCAGTGATTACGAATATATCGTTTATACTCAATTAGTTTCTTTACTACATGTGGTATTGCTGGAAGCGAAGTGCGTTGATGGGCTGTCGGGGCCGTTAAGTCGAGGGCATCTAATATAATATGAGTAAGTGAGTCAATGGCGCTGTCAATATCTGCGTAGTTTGGAGTAATAGCAGTGGAGGTAGAAGAGATGTAACTAGCATCTGATAATATGACCAATAGACATTTTCTAAATGATAAGGCTGAGCGGGGAGGATTTCTTCTGGGGTTGTGTCGAGTGAGAAAACTACGGGGCGATCGGATTGCAGGGCGGTATGAGTCTCCACTTGAATGTTATAACTAAAGTAGTTAGAAACGCCGAAATCTAGTATATCAGCTTGCACTGACGCGCGGTAGAGGTATTAGCTGGGTGTAACAGGGGCATGTACAGCCAGATTTAATCTTTGTATGTCAGCATGCAACAGATTACCAGAAGGTAAGGGGCAGTCTACGTCCCCAAGCGTGTTTAGCATTCCAATCACCGATCACTAATGTTGGATGACGGGAGGAAAATGAGGTATTAACATCACCTGATATATATGGAATATTAGGGGGCTTGTAAATTGAAGTGATTATTAGGGCAGATTGACAATTTTGCTGAATAGTCACACTAACAATTTCGAAAGTATTATTTATATTTGTAGGGAGCTGATGATGTGTTAGGGAATGTTGTACAAGTATGGCAACCACACCACTGCACCGTTTTCGCCGTCAGTCCTAACGATATAAAATACAACGGAGAATATACATTTTCAAGGGCAAAGATGAGTTTCCTAAATGCAAGGTACTAGTATATTATTATTATGCAACAAGTGTGTCAGCATATGAATATTAGGTTTAACACCGTTCGCATTCCATGAAATAAGACGGAGTGAGGAATGAGTGGCACTATTTAAAAGGCATGGTTTATGGATAATATAATTTTATTGATTGAAGGATGGAGTTAGTGAGAGAATAAATAATTTGACTTAGAAGTTCGGAGAAGAAATATTCTACCTGTTAGGATATAAAGTGTTCCAACTGGAAGGGCTACCCAATGGGCGGGTGTATGGGCTGTTTGAAAACATCTGAATATAGCGATATTTGGTTTGGTAATGATGGCAGTGGAATTCTACGACGGGGGAATATGGTTCTTGCATTCTGAGCACGGAAGGGAAAGGATGAGGACAGGTTACAGGAGGAGCCGTTGGAGGGGTTAATGAACGTGGGTGATGGGGTATCGCTGGTTGTGCGAATTGTTGTCGGATGGGGTAGCGGGATGGGAGGGATTTTCTCTGGAGAATTTTTTGATAAATTTCATAGTCGTGACTAGAGAACCGATGAGCTTTTCCGCAGGGTGAACATTTGGTATCAGTACTAGAACATTCGGTCGGGGCATGCGGCCCTGCACATTTGCTGCAACGAGGCCTATTACAGTTTTTTTTGTGTGTCGGAATATCTGACAACCTCGACACTGCACTGGCCCGGGTCTATGACGACGCTCTTCAACCGTGATTATGGTATTGAACAGTTCTTTTAGTTCATATTTTGCACTGCTTTCTGATTTCGTAAGAGTAACATCACGTAAAGACCAAGGTTTACGATTAGAATCGGTCTGATAACGATGGTTACGAAGTAAAGTCGTCTTCGCCTGTACTTGTTATGATTTCAGTATAAGGTCCTCTGATTTTAGTAACAAAATGTTCATATTTAGGCAATTCTTTAATTTTTTGAGAGAGTTCCGAGTGGAAAATCTATTGCCGGTTGGAAGGTAAAGGCACATTTGCACTATAAGGCATGCCTAATCCCTGTACGTACGAAGCTTGGTTATTCCCTGCATCTTGCAATCTGGGGCGTTTATGAGAAGGAGAATGCGCTTTACGTATCTGTTGAACGGTTGAGAATATCCCCCGGGTGGTCTAGACAGCTGCGTGAAGGGTGCAGGTTTTGAATTCGCAGGTTGGCTCGTTGATGCTGCTGCTGCTAGTGCTGTAGGTGATTAATTAGATGCGGTTCCATATAATGATAGTCGTTAAGTGCGTATAGAGCTGAAGACACCACATCTGATAGCGGAGGAAATGATTCATTCGCGTTTTCTGCCATTCTTGGATTGAACATTTAACAAAGATCGCACCAAGTGGCCCGAGGGGGCCGGTCGCCGGGGCGACAACACCTCGTGCTGATATTTCTAGTAACAAACACTTATTAAAATGCACTTATCTGCACTAAGATATTTAAACAAGTCACTCGCTTTCTGAGCGGCCGTAACCAGCCCCGCTGGAGCCCTTCTTATCACTGGTCACAGTCGAGGTACTGCGGAGCGATAAGCAGCGGACGAGGTGTGCACCGCTCGTTAGCCTTGCGCAGAATGGAGCTCCTTTCGTGTACTATCTCGTCGTCATTGAATCATGCTTAATTAGGTAATTAAAGCCTTAGTTGAAATAATAATAAATTTATATTGATTGAATATACTAATTAAACCTGCTGCAATTGTTATAGCACTAATGGCTCCTGCAATAGGTCACGGGGTAATATTTACATGTAATGGACTATTTTGATGTGTTAACATTAATTGTGGTTGATATAGTGTGACGTAGTGGAATTAGACAAGTTCAAATAAAATGAATATAACATATATTAACAAATTAAAACAAGTTGAATTAAAATGTTTAAAATGAAACCTCCGGCAACCTTTTCTTTCCCAGTACCCTGCTTTAACGCAGAAAGCGACGCGTGATGCGCGCTGTCCGACTTCCGTCCCGTGACCATCACCGTCACATGGCCTGGCGCGAAAATTAAGACCGGTCGCCGTCCGGCGGACCGCGTGCCTAGAGCACCCGAGATCGTCTGGCCCTTACACTCCGGACATCTCGCCCACACTCCTACTTTCCCCGTACCTACTCTTCCTCCGCTCTCCGATCCGAACTGAATGAGAACGCCGGCGCTGATGGCGTATATAATAGTTGGGGCATGCACCCCCACCACACAAGTTTTCCGGATAGGGTCGTCTGCGACGCGAGGACACGCGGGGGCTCGCTAGCTAGCTTCCTGGGAGATTACTGCCTTCCCCAAGACTCGCACTTTAGTAATTCTTAATGATATTTTTGGCTCTGCCACTCCGACAGCCGCAAAATCTGGGAGCGCCAGGGCCCCGCCTTTCTCTCTCTGCAACGTGCATGCCTCTGCCTGCAACATCCTTTCACCGACCTTATGGTTCGGGCCCTCGTGTTAACGACGCCACAATAGCAAGTAAATAAGAATGAATAATTGAGACTGATAGTTCGAGTAATAATGGTAGAATTTGTGTTAGAATAAGGATTTGAATTTAAATGGTTGAACATAATATAATAAATATAACATAATAATATAATAAATAGGTTCTGTTGTTCTTAGTAATGTCAATAAGAGGTCACATGCAATTATATTTGAGTATTGAGGATAGTAATTATTAATTGAATTATTAAAGTGTTGTTATGACAAAATAAGTTGTTGTAATAAAGGGGATGAACTATTTTGAAACTTTAAATTGGATTATGTAGTCATATATTAAAAACGAATCCTTCATTCAACGAAGCTTAAATTCATTACACTTTTCTGCCTTACAATAGGTAATTCTGAATATTATGTTCTACAGGAGGAAGATTTTGGTATTATTCTAGTGATTATGTATATTTATTAAAAATAACATATTTCGGTGTGAAATTATTCTTTCTCATATAATTTTCTCAAATATATTATCTGAAATTAAGATAATGCCAATGAGGAAAACTGTTGAGCCTAATGATGATAAATTTTTTCATGAAGTACCAGCATCTGAGTAATCGGTTTATCGAGAAAGTGTTGAGGAAATAATGTTAAATTTACTCACATAAATATTACTATATATTGTATTTTTAATCATTTTGGATTTATTGTTAGTCCTGTGAATAATGAATATGAATGAATAAATCCTTTTATTATAGAAAATACTGCTCTTATTGATAATGAAAGTGGGCTATAACATAATATGTATCATGAAGAATAATATAAATTGATGAATATGCTAAGACAATACCTGTTAAACCTCCAATAGTAAATAAGAATACAAATCCTAATGTTCATAGTAGTGAGGGATTATCGTATATTTGTGATCCATGTAAGGTGGCTAATCAACTAAAAATATACATTCCTGTTGGTACAGCAATAATTATAGTTGCTGAACAGAAGTATATTAGAGTAACTTCATCTATACCAACGGTAAATATATGATGGCTCATGCAAAAAAAAACTAATAATTCAATAGGTAATATGGCATATATTATTCCGAGAGTACCAAATGCAACCTTCTCCCTCTTTTTGTCTAATAATATGAGAAATTATTCCATTTCCTGGTAGAATTAAAATATAAATTTCTGGATGTCCAAAGAAAAAAATAAGTGTTGGTATAGAACCTCGACATGCGGGATCCAAAAATGATGTATTTAGGTTAATAGTTTAGATAATATTAATAAAAGTGCTGTAATTCCAACAGCTCATACAAATAGTGGTGTTTGATCTAGATATTTACCTGGTGTTCGTATATTAATATGAGTTCAAATACAATTTACGGCTACTAAAATTGATTCAATTCCTGCTAAATGTAATGAAAACATTGCTAAATCAATTGATGCTCCTGTGTGGGAAATTCCCGTTGATAAAGGTGAATATACTGTTAATCCTGTTCCTGCAACGTTTTCAATTCTTCTTCTGGTTAATAGAAGGGTTAGTGTTGGTGGTAGAAATCAAAATCTTATATTGTTTATTCCAGAAAATGCTATATCAGGTGCTCATAATATTAATGCTACTAATCAATTTTCAAAGCTTTTCAAGCTTCAAAGCTTCAAAAATTTTCAATAATTGGTATTACAATAAATACATTATGACGAATTCATGTGCATTTACAATAACATTACCTGAATGATCACCTCTAATTAAATAGCCTGATTGTCCTCATTCTTTTCGAATTAAAATACTTAAAGATGTACCTACTTGTCCAGTTCAGGCACCAAAAATGAAGTATAAGGTTCTAATGTCTTTATAATTAGTAGAAAATAACCATCGTTGTGATAAAGTGGTTGAAGATTAGTCTATAGATTGTAAATCGTTTTATGAAAAGAGTTTCCTTTATCATGGCCTTATCGTCTCCTAATTTATTTTAGTAGTATACATACCTTTTGCGGCACTCACACGCAACCGCTCTTTATAAATAAGGTCTCTAAAGAAAGAGAATTTCACGGAGACGCGACGAATTACGAATTGAAATAGAACGATAGGGAAGAGTGTCAGGTTTAACTTGCGAGAGTTCTCGCATGGACACGCGGAGGCAGAAAAAAGCCAAAGACAAACACCAACTCGTTATCAGTCGTCAGGAAGTACAAGGGATACTCTTCTCACGTGCTAAGCACGTTTCTTCCACTGTAGTGGAATGTTGGCGAGCAACCTCTTCAAATTATTCCGCACAGCAGCGCTCTCAGTGAGTCTGGTTTATTTCCAATATCTTTGTTTGGTCTCTAGAATTTTCAATATGGTAAATATTGGGTATTGCCAACTCAAAAATGTACATAAAGCTAGGCTTTGGAGCTATATTAAAATATACGTAAATCGAGACATCTGTCATCAAACATTTCTATCATTATGGCATTAATTTTAATCCTCTGAATATGTTGAAACGCTGAAATAATCATTATTTTGACCAATTATTTTGATACTTTTCTCCTGAAAGTCAATCCTGAAATATGAGAAGTTAAATGTTTTACTTCATTTTAAAATGACAATATAATTAGAAAACCCGACATCCTCTGACACGGAAATACTATCCACCACCAACCACTATCACACCAGATTGCAACGGGAAGCTATTGAGATATTCAAGCACCCCGATAATTTCAACAGGAAGGAAGAAGGTCTCAAAATCAACTCTACCTGGTATGCCGTACTACGCAACACTATTAAAAAACCTTACAAGAACAGAATAACCCAATCTAACCACAACGCAATCGACAGCCA